TTTAGAACATTATTTTGAGCATGTATAGCTTAAGATTCTTCAAGGAAAACATGTGAACTTAAAATTTGACTTTTATTGCTCATTGTTCACAAGTGCTTGAGGTTTGAAGGCTTATTTGAAGAATCATGTTTCTAATATGTTCAACTATGCTTAATTTTCATCATGAAGCATGAATATGTTGTATGAAATGTTCAACAAGCATGTCGAGCAATGTTAAGCATGACAAGCAATTAACCTAATATTCTCAACATTTCTTAACATAAGGCATACTTGTTCAAATAATTACACCTTCAAGAGTGACAAGTATTCAAAATGCCATCAAATTATCATATTTAAGATTATGCTTAATAAAATACTTTTACTTAAATTCACAAGTCATGAGAGAAATGTCAAGCATAATGGAATTTGAGCAAAGTCAATAGATCAATTTCAATTAAAAGAAATTATAGTCAATAGTTTATATGGTAATCTCTCTCCATATATCTAATTATTCTTGAGAAGAATTGTTATTGGAGGAAATATCTAATCATTTTCGCAACTCTTTTTCCAAATTCTTCAGTAAACTAATCCTTGTTGTAATCTCTCCCAACTTCAATCTCAGGTTTGCTAATATTATATATAAGCTGTAATGTTAGTTCACATTCTTGAGGAAGTATTTGTTCATAGAATATTGGCAATTACAAGAGTGCAACTTTTAAAGTTAGTCAAGTGTACATAAAGATCTTTTATAAAGTAAAATTTTTTATTAAAATTAAATTAAAATATGAAAAAATAGAACTAATCTCAAATATATCAACACAAAAATATATTGTTAATTTATTCAAGCACATGCAATCTATTTGAGAGATTGATTTAGCATATTTTAAACTTGTATTCGTTTTAGTTTTGAAGTCGATAAATTATGATTATAAAACAAAAATCAAAACATGCATGTAAAATATATATTTATTGAAATGAATTAAAAAAATATTTATTTTGAGAAATTTATCACGTCAATTGTATAAATTGCTTGAAGAATCTCTTACTTGTCACGTAAGCAAAATATGAGCATGTACCCCATTCCCAAATCCAAGCTAATTACACAAACCTCCTGCCAAACCTTTTCAAGTTGTGATATGGTTTAAAAACGAAGTTGCCGATATATATAATGTTACTAGATTTAGTTTGATAAGGAAGATTTAGTTTGTAATTTTTTTAAATTCTTCATCCAATTATTTTTTGACATGTGGTAGGAAAAAAGGTCATAGCACAATTTTTAGGTAACAGGTTTTATTGCTACATCATTTGTCAAGTGGCATTAATGTCATCAAAATAACATGTCAACATGCCACATAGTATAAAAGTGCTAATTATATCATTAATTAACGAAAGTTAGTCAATACTTAATTAGATAGGCTTAAAATAAAAATTTAAGGATTTAATTGAATACAATAAAGGTATAAGAATTTAGTTAGCTTTTTTAATATAATTCAAGAGTTTATTTAGGTATTTAACCATTTTAAATTGATTGAATTTCATTGAACAAGGGTAATAGAGTTCATAGATAACTAAGGGTTTTTGTTTAAAATTTAGTAAATTTTTCAAGGAGACAAAAAAGCAAATCTCTAAACTTTCATTATCTATTGATGTCGTTAAAAACAAAATTCTACTATAATTTTCAAATAAAATCTAATTCTATTCTTGTATAATTTGGTTTAAAAAAAGGAAAATTTTAAATCCATTCTTGATTTAGGGGTTTAAATGAAAGTCATTTAATACAATTAGGATTATCATTAACAAGCTTTTAAAAAAAAAAAAGAATTATCGTTAAGAAATTGGATAAATTTTATTAATATTTATAATAAAAAATTTATATAAATTATTAAATACTATTAAAATTAAGAAAATTAATTATTGATGAATATCATTAAATGCAATTAAAATTATTATTTAAAAATTAGATAAATCTGATTAAAAACATCTACAATAATAATTTAGAAATATAATGAAAAAAATGTGGTCCTCTATCAATTAAAAAATATTAACACCATCTGTCTTTGTCCATATATTATAAATGATTATAAATATAGATAAATAGATCATAGAGAGTGCAGATAAATGTAGATGTGGTTGCATAAGAGAAAGGAGGGCATGAGGTGGACGAAGGGACAAGGGAAAAAAGAAAGTGGAAAGAAGAGAGGCAATAATTCTTGAATAGAATATTAATTAACAAAAAAAATATATATTAATATAAAATTGATATGGTCGACAAAGTTAGATGTGGACATGTGAAAGTGAGACATCAAAGCGACTCAGCGGCCGAGTTATTGGTAAACCTAATCAAATGTTGTCGTTTTAGTTGCAGTAGCCGGTCCATGAAAAACGCAACCCACATTGGATCAGAGCGTTCTCCACGTGTGAGTGGGACACATCAAAGGTTTGTCATTTCTTTTGACTTAACATTTTTGGTTTTATCAGAATGTTTAGATAAAACGTTGTTAGATGGAGTGTCTTTTCTGTCACGTTAAACGCGCAAACGCATGTCAAATAATATATCCGCATTTGCCTTTAGTTGTTTTATCCATTAAGTGACTGGCTCGCTGTCTAATAATTCATAACCAACTAAGTTATTGAACACTTTAAAATAGTATATATGGATCTATTAATAATGACAACTTATAAATATTTATCATATCGATAACATATATTTGTGGATCAATTTTTTTAAATAAATGCAACAAAATCATTGTTATTAATTTTGAGAGCTCATATCTATAATTTTATATAAGACAAAATCTTGATGAGGTTCCTAGACAGTGTCACATGGGTACATTAACAAGAAAATGCTGTAAGAAAAAAAAAAGATCAAAATTTTCACATGTAGCCATCAAATGAGAGTTGTTATGAGATTCGGTCTTGCACGGGTTGCATCACTGGTGGTCAGTATGAATGGTGGGCTGCAATTGGTAAGACTTATCAAGTCAAATTCAATTATATATTAACAGTATAGTATGAATATATTAATAATGATAAATTATAGATATTTCTTATATATGGATCTAGAGGTTAGCAAAACCAATCCAGACCAATTACCCATCTAAATCAAATACGATTTTGGTAAAACGGTTATATCTAATCGGTCTATTGGATTAATTAGTCCAAATGTTTAGTCTAATTAGTTTTTTGATTCGTTCTCGATTTTAAAATTTTTGAACCAATAGACAAAAAAAACCAAACTAGTTATATATATATATAATTTTTTTATATATTAAGAAGAGTTGATGGTAAACTTAATTAATAATATACTTAAAACATATTAAGGTATTATATGTACATATACAAATAATAATTATAATAATTTAATATTAGTTATATATATTTATTTATAAATCTGTATTAATATAAAATTACAAGTTATATATTTTAAATGATATAACTTATATGTTAATATTATAATATATGATAATAAATATCCTACATATTAATATGTTATAATTATTACACTTTAACAATGTTTCGTAATGTAAAATGTTATGAATATATATATAATTATATAAATATAATATACATACATATATTTAATTTATACATAAACATTATTATAATTTATAATAAATTTTATTTATATGATTACATTAAATAAATTTATTAGTTATTATCTTAGATTTTATAATATATTGTTTATAATTAATTATTATCTATATAAACTTTGATATAAAATATTATAACATATAAGTTATGTCATTAATTTCATATATATATATATATATATAATAAAGTAATATCTTATATATACATATATTAATTTATACATAAGCATTACTATAACTTATAATGGACTTTATTTATATGATTACATTTAATAACTTTATTAGTTATCATCTTAGATTTTATAACATATTGTTTATAATTAGTTATTATTTATAAAAACTTGATATAAAACATTTGAGCATATAATTTGTATCATTAATTATATATATAATAAAGTAATATATTATATATACATATATTTAATTTATACATAAGTATTACTATAACTTATAATAAACTTTATTTATATGGTTACACTTAATAAGTTTATTAGCTAACACTTAATAAGTTTATTAGCTATCACTTTAAATTTTATAATATACTGTTTATAATCAGTTATTATTTATACAAACTTTGATATAAAACATTATAACATATAAATTATATCATTAATTTTACATATATATAATTATGGATGAAGTTTATAAGGTTTAATATTATAATTTGTAAAAAAATATATTAAAATTTTGGTCTATTGGTCCAAAACTAGACCAACCAAACCACTTCTATATTTAGTTGATTTGATCTTTCTTTATATTTGATCGGTTTTAATCGATTTTTTAAAAATGATTGGTCTATTTGATACTAAATATAATGAACTGAACCACCGAATCTACCAATTTGCTCACCCCTATATGGATCCACAATTCTTTTATAAATGTAACAAAATTATTATTTTTTATTTTGAGAGCCCATGTATATTGATATGTGCCATATATATTAATAGTATGGATCTATTAATAATGATAAATTATTAATATTTCTTATATATATATATATATATGGACTCCATGTTTTTTTTATAAACGTAACAAAATTATTATTATTATTTTTAAGAGCCCATATACATTGATATGATAAATTTTAATCACACATAATTATTTAATTGATTATGTCTAATTACTTTTTTATTATTTTTTGGTAGTCGAAAACCTGTAAGCCTAGTATTGTACTTATCATGAGAAACACATTTCTGCCTTTAGCTAAAGGAGAAAGATATTGTGAATTTAGTTGATGTGGAACTTAACAAGCATGCCCCGACAAACTAATTTAATAGACACATTTCTTATTATAGTATGCCTTTTTGTCCATGGGTTTAATTGATTAAATTATATTAGTAGGCAAAAATTCGTCTAAGAGGACCATCTCCACTACTCTTTATATAGCATATTTGAGTGCCTTAATGCTTTACAACAAATTAAAAAGAAAGACCTTGCATACATCAAGATAGAGATGGATGTGTTCTGTGTGAATGGGGAGAAGCATGTAAATGATCATGAGCTACTTCAGGCTCAATCTCACGTATGGAACTACTTGTTCAACTTCATAAACTCCATGTCTCTAAAATGTGCAATTGATTTAGGCATTCCCGACATCATTCAAAACCATGGCAAGCCCATGAAGGTTACCGAGCTGGTTGCTGCGCTGCCGATCAATGCTACCAAAGCGAGCAGCATATATCGGCTCATGCGCATTTTAGTTCACTCGGGCTTCTTTGAGCGACAAAAGCTAGGCACAAACGACCAAGAAGAAGGGTATGTTCTTACCAACGCTTCGCGTCTCCTGCTCAACGGTGATCCCTTGAGTGTGACACCTTTCTTGAAGGCTATGATGGATCCCATTCTAACAAAGCCTTGGCATTTTCTAGGTGCCTGGTTCCAAAATGATGACCCGACCCCATTTGATACCGCGCATGGGAGGACATTTTGGGACTATGGTGGCCATGACCCAATGCTTAGCCATTTTTTTAATGAAGGCATGGCCAGTGATGCTCGATTGGTTAGTAGCATATTGATTCACAAGTGTAAGGGGGTGTTTGAGGGATTGAAGTCGTTGGCGGATGTTGGGGGTGGCACAGGAACCGTGGCCAAGGCCATTTCTGATGCATTTCCATACTTGGAGTGCACTGTGTTTGATCTTCCTCATGTTGTTGCTGGCTTGCAAGGCCGTGGGAACTTAAAATTTGTTGGAGGAGACATGTTTGAGGCAGTTCCAGCTGCAGACGCAGTTTTACTCAAGGTTTTTGCTAACTTTATTCTTATTTTCTCCTTTTAATTTTTTTTTTTTAAATTTTTTGCTTGTAAAATCCCAAATTAAATAAAATAAAAAATCCCGAATCCATTACCGTCCTTTTCCCAAACAAAACCACACCTCTAAACTGCAGGAATCTCCAAAAGCTGAATCTCAATTTACCGATCAATGTAGAGATCACACACTTCCAACCTAAAACTACTCAACAAATTGGTATCCTAAAGACCCCAGAAGGCATATGGACGCAAATAACGCAACGGCTGACCAAAGTAAACCCTTTCGCAGTTTTAACAATAGAAAATTCAAGGCAAGTACCGTAAGAATACTCCATCGACCAACCAAACGCAACCCCAGGACTTTCAATAACCAGACTCATTCGACAAAGACAAGTGCCGATGCTTGTCTGTGCAGAATTATCCCCGTGTTTTAATTCCACCTCACCTATCCTTCAACACAAAAGTTCTCTCCTAAAAATCACCCCAACGAAAACTTGTTTCAGGCGGTCCCCAACCATTCATTCCCATGCTCCATCAATCAAAAAGTCTTCAACAATCTCTTAGCCATTCAAAATAAAATTTGACAATAAATCCAAAAGACCACAGTCAAATAAGCCTCAACATAATCACCCAAACTTTGCTTTCAATGTGAATAAAACCCAAGCCCGTGCTGCCATTTACCTGTGTGACGCCTTACCATCGCGAGTTCCATGCAACCCCAAACCATATGCTAATTCTATACCCCTCAAATTTCAGTCTCCTCGCCATTATCTCTTTATAGATATCTGGATTTATTTCTTATGATTCCTTGTTGCTGGCCTTACCCTTTCCAACTTGGTAAATCTCTCCAACAAGGTCTGCTCACTTCCAACTACCTTTAATCCTAGTGCTTTCCCAAGATTCCAAGTTTCCTTGGCTTCAGCCTTGATGATGCTATTTCTATTTCTAACGTCACTGTCCGATAAGGATAAGTTTGTCGTCCTTTCCTCCTTTCCTTCTGATTTCCTTTCGATTTTCTTCTTTCCCCCTTTCTTCTTCCGTTTCCCTTCTCTATTCCTCCCTCCACCTATTTATACCTCAATATCACTTAACGAACCAACTCTTCGATTTCTTGGTTTCCCAAACCATGGAAATTCGTCCACTTCCTCTGATGCTCACAAATTAGTTGCAAGGTTTAGGGTGCTAAGAAAATCAAATTGAACTGTTCTCTTAAAATTTGGAGATTAAATTTGGTACAAAATTATTACTTGGCCAAGTAAAGACTAGTCTATGTTTACTAATGTTTTGGATTAGCAAGATTTTGATTCATGAATTTGACGATAATAATCATACAAGTTTCTAAATATTGTTTAGTATGTGTATGATCATAGGTAACAGATTATAACATATACCATGTAAGTTATTTTTCTGTCATAGCAACACGTGGCTGGGAGATGAATTTTGGGTTGTTGGGCTCATTTCTTGAATTTTGTCTTATTTTTGACTTGTGAACTATGAGTATTTACCTTTTTGTTTGAGTTGTAACATATATTTAGGGCAATAAATTATCTTATATATCCCTAATTTTTTGTCGAGTGCTCAATTAGCCCAAATAATAGAGAAATTAACCATCCCCTTCATATAGTCAAAATAAAACCAGGTGACATAGCATATAACTCACAAACCCCCAGCTGGACATGTATAAAGAAGAACCAAAAGAATTTAAACTCGTTTTATAGAAATTAGGTCAAGATTTAATAAAGTAAAACTCATCTCCACTTATCTTGTTGTCCTTCTAATAGTTAATAATCGAATTCTTCACTATAAATATTATCACAAGAGTAGAATAGAGAGATTTGTAAATTTAATGAAGTAGCTCAAACTGATTAAATTCGATGAGGTCATTACTTATTTATGATAATTAAACAGTGGATATTGCACGATTGGAATGATGAAGAATGCGTGAAGATTTTGAAGCGCTGTAAAGAGGCAATTTCGCACGGTGGCAAGGGAGGGAAGGCAATTATAATAGACATGGTATTGATGGAGAAGAACCACAAAGTGAATGATGCATCCATCGAAACGCAACTCTTCTTTGACATGTTGATGATGGTGTTGGTGGCTGGAAGAGAGAGGAACGAGGAAGAGTGGGCTACGCTGTTTTGGGCAGCTGGTTTTAGTGACTATAAAATCACTCCTATAATGGGTTTAAGATCTCTCATTGAGGTGTACCCTTAAGAGAGTCTTGCTTTATTCCTATAAGAATAAACATTATGAACTACTATTATTCTTGCTTTATTCTCATTGAGGTGTACCCTTAAAACTACTATTATTAACTTTTATGTTATTGTTACGGTCGTTGGTTTGTACTTGTCTCTACTTCTATTGTCTTATAGTACTAGAAAAAACTGTACTCATCGATTATGAAATAAAACATTACTTCACTTGAATCAGATTTATTGTTTCGCTCACATTGGAATTGTTGGTGTTGTTCTTACTAACTAAAAATTGTTTCAATTTCTTAATTCAAAGGGCTCAACCAATCGGGTTTCTTCTCAAATAAAGAACATAATTCAAGCGAACCTCGATTAGTAATAGTAGTTGAAATGGATGAATTAGCTGAATTAATTGCGCCTTTCTCTCATATTTTTAGGAGCATAGGTAATTGATTATTATTAAACATTGAAAGGAATCTCTTAGCCGAAGCTAAGCAGGTATACAGCTAATAACGACACATTCAGCAGTTAGTGGCTGTAGAGGGAAAAGTTGCAAAATCCCTTAGTAGAGGTTCCCTACATTGCACAAACTCAGAAATTGGCGTGGTCTATTGTACTTCCATTTTTTCCATCGAAAAATAACCTCATTTCTACTCCAGCCCCTCAAATCATGAACCATTGAGTCCAACAACTCCATTGTCTAGCCAGAGGTTCGCATTGTTTTATTGAGCCAAGGCGAGTTTCTTAATCGATAATATTTCATGTTCAAGAAAGGTACCACTCACAAAGTATAACAACCCACAAAAACAACAGCCTCATTCAACACAAGACCTTTATATAAAAAAATTGAACTTTTCCCCGAATTATGCCCATGGAAATCTAGTACAAAAAGTCGCAATTAAGCAATTAATAGTCCAGTAAAATTCGCATGCACTTACAAAAATATCAAGCAATAATGCTTAAACCCAAAAACTGAAACTACAACCCAACAATCACAACCTTTCTAATTGCACCACCTTACTTGAAACAAGACACAAACAACTTAAGAACCTTTAAATTACCTGAAGACATCGCATTATTTCAGTTGGGCCGTCCAATTTCTTTAATTTTCGATGATCACCTCCTCACTAGAATTTAGAATTATCATCAGATAAAGATTCCCCCACCACTCTTCAGTTGTCTTCTTCAATTACCAGATTCTTCGATTTTTTCCAACTCGACCACCCCTATGCTTCAACAGTGATGCTTTTCCTTTCCTCGATTCCTGCTCAATTTCATTCAAGAGGCTAGATTTTCGATTACTCATCTCTGCAAGAAGAGGAAGATTTGCTAAAAGTATTTTCTGTTCAACGGCCGTATCACCCGACTGTTGCAGTCTTGACATTGACTCAACTGTCTTCCACGGGTTCATTATCATCTAAGCCCAATGCCATTGAATCATAGCTCATGACTTGATCTAGCCCATCCTGTCCGGATTCATCCTTTTCTAGCCCATGTTTTGACATCACATGTTCTACTTCTTCCTTTTCCTTTTATAGGTTTCAAAACTTTAATCAACAGATAAAATACCCTTATTTGCTAAATTTTGATCAAAATTATATAAACATTCATTAGTTTTTAAAATAAAAACTCCGTCTTAAAAAAATATTTTTCATTAGATACGTAATTCCAGCCGTTAGCTAACCGTTAATATTTTCATCAACTTACTATCGTAGCAAGAGTAAAAAGATAATTTTACTCTTAAATTAATTTTTATAATTACTATTATATAATTTTATTATTTTATTAATTTAAAAAAAAGCTCCTCATTTGGGGAGCTCCAGAGCACTGGTGTTCTCTTCCTTTGGGAGCATTAGCTAGTGCTCCCTTCCCTTGGGGAACATCGATTGATATTTTTTTTTCTAATTTTTTTAAAAAATAATAATAATTTTTAAAATTAATAAAAAAAAGATATTTTAGTCTTTTCTTAATTTCTATAACGATATTTGCATTTCTAGAACGAAGTGTTCATTTCGAAAACTATTAGATCCACTTGAAATTTTGATTATAATTTAAGAAGGTAGGACTATTTTACCCTTGATCAATTATCACGCCTTCGAACACAACTATCAACCATCTCCCTTTTAAGATCTATCATTTGATTTACCAAATCTTTATTATTGCTAGAATTCAAGTCCCATAATCCTCTTTCCACATCATTTCTCACCCTTTGTCAATGAGTTCCTACTTAAGACTATTTGCCACTTTAGCTTCTTCTTCCGCCTCTAGGGTGAAGCATGGTCTTTGTGACAAATTTGGTCTTGGATTTGCATGTTGGATTACACTCCCCTTCATATTTTCCTTCCCCTTTTTCCTTTTCAAACATTGGAATTTCTTGCACCCAAATCTAGAAAACTTTATTTGCCATCTCCAATTCAATCACTTCATCCAAACATCCTTCTTTATCATTAACAATTTCCATAACACTATAATACAAATTATCACAATTGATCTTTTTATCATCTAAAGATACTGACTCACCCCACACACTGGCAATGTTATAAAACGTGTTATAAAATCTCTATAGAAAAAAACACCATGAACCTCAACACATTTTTTATTGTATTTTAAGGTGAAACTTTCATATGACGTAAATAGTCTAACAAGTAATAATAATTAGTATTTTTCTTACTTAGTTAGGAAACTTATTGGGAATTATAAGAATAATAGAAATTTTCTTTTTATTTTAATTTACTTGGATGATAAGTAAGCATAGGTTTAAAAATTTACTTTTCTTATACTCCAAGGAAGTCTAGAGTAGAATACTTCTTTATTTTAATTTACTTTACTTGCACTTCAAGTTTAGGTTAAGTAGGATGAGGCTATTATAAATAGTACTCTTAAGCTTAGTTATTAAACACCTTATTTCTTTTGAAGTATGAAATAATATTATATTTTTTCTTAAATTTTGAGTGTAAGTTTCTGTGTTTAAAACTTGGTTATCAACCTTCAAGGCTCTGTCGAGTGTTAGCTTTTATTTTGACGCTAATCCACTACGCCATCAGACTAAGGCTCTAGCTATATGAACCAATTATTAACTAGTTCTAATTCTTTTGCTTTATTCACTACAAAAATTATGATTTTTCCAAATTATTAATAGATTTTCAACGGCTTATTCTGTCAGTAAATTAATTGAGTAAGTGATTGTTGATGATGTAATTCTGTTGGTAATGAAATATTTCATCGGTATATTCTATTAGCAATGATATTTGTCAGTTGGGGAAAAAAATAATTGATAACTGGACAAATTTGTTAGTAAATTTCTTATGTATTTGTCGATGAAACATCGACTAAATAGTGATAGAAACAACCTTTGTAAAAGTGGAGAAATCTATCGATAAATGAAGCAAATTTCATTGCTAAACGAAGTAAATTTTATCGACAATATGTTTCAATTTGATTGAAAATACTGATTGAATCTATTGATATTGAGTCTCAATTCCGTCGATAATGATGCCAAAGGTTGTTTGTAATTTTGTCGAAATTACGAAAAGAAATGTTTTGTAAAATGAAAGTGATTGTGCATTTTGTTCTATTATCGTTATTTTGATTGATTTGGGACACATTAGTTGGGTAAATTATGAAATAAAAAATTATAATTTTATAAAAATAAATTATAAAATGATATAAAAATATACAAATATATTATAAATAAATGACACAAATAATTTATGCTTGTTGTCCATAATTTCACCATGCCCCATTGATCACTTTTAGATGCTGTTGAAAAGCTTGAAAATGTCACTGATCTGTTTGTCATCTCTAATTGAAATAATTGCTATCAAAGAAGCATTAACAAAAGAACCTATAAAAACAAACCCCTTGGTTCATAAAGAATAGAAATCCCATGCTTGCTATTTGTGCCCCATTGGTGCCCACTTTCTATTTTCATGCCAAGTTCTAGCTTTATTTTCTGTTGTTTAATGGATGACGACAAATGTTAAGAGTCATAACTTGTAACTGCTGCACTTTGTTTTTGCTGCAGCATTTTAATCTCTTTTTACTTTGTCTCCAAGAATTCTATTGCTTCAAAAAGTTCAAGAGAGCTTATGTTCAACAAGTTTTTTTTTTTCATGGATCAAGATAGTGGTAGATTCAAGATTTTGTATGAAGAGTGGCTAAACAGTAATTATACAATATGATGGGTCAGGTTATGAATCGGGTCAATGATTCGATTTTGAGTAAAAAATTAATCACTTTTGATATAATATTAAATTATAACATAAAATTTCATTAACAATTTAAATTTATATACGTTTTCAGATTCACCAATATAAATAGACATAAAATAGAAAAAAAATTAACATTATATTTTCACACTAAGCATCACAATAGATATAAAGTAGAAAGAAAAATTAATATTAGATTTTCACATTAAACATTGTAAATTGTGCTTGACGTGAAAAAAAGTTGTGCTCAACGTGATTTCATGCTTCAAAGGAAAAAAATTTGAAAAGAAGAAAAGGTTGAAAAAAAGTTGAAAAGAAAAAAAAGGTTTAGTATATTCATAAAAGAAAGAAAAAAAGAAAAACGAAAAAAGGAAAAAAAAGAAAAAAATTCCAAGCTTTCAAAGGAACAAAAGTTGAAAAGAAAAAAAGTTTTAATATATTTATAAAGGAGAGAAAAAAAAAGAAAAAGAAAGAAAGAAGGAAAAAAAAAAGAAAAGAAAACTAATTCCAAGCTTTCAAAGAAGAAAAAGTTGAAAAGAAAAAAAAAGTTTTAGTATATTTGTAAATGAGAGAAAAAGGAAAAAAAAACAAAAAAAGAAAAAAATTCCAAAATTTATACTTAAAAAGAATTGAACCAGCCTAGATTAAGTTTCTTATCACTACTTCAAAACAACACATTTGATATGTGTAGGGGTGGGAAATGTAGATATTTTTAATTTTATATGTATAAATAAAAGAAATTTAAAAACCGCCACCCTCTTCTTTTGCCTCTAGATGAAGGACCTTTGCAAATCATTTGCAAATCATGAAACCTTGTTTATTGTCCAAAGTATGACATGGTTTCTAATGGAGTTAATGCTTTTGATAAAATATTTATCTTCAGGATTGGATTTGTAAAAGCTTTTTGAAAGAAGGAATAATAAGAGCTTGTGTTTTTAAAATTGATATCA